AGCTATTTTTTGGTTGCAGCCGTCGTTGTTTTGGCGGGTCCGGGCTGGGGATTTGAACCTGCCACCTTTAGGTGTATGTGGCTGGCGCCTTAGCCGGTTGAGCTATAGGCGCTGAGCCATGAAAGGAATTTTTTACAGCTTGTTGAAAATAGAATATTTTTCCTAGCAAGAAGTGGTCCAAAGCCTAGAAGAAGTAATAGTTGGTGCAAGGTCGGTGAATACGGTGGATGACAGAGAATTTCCAAGTCTAGCTTTTGTAGTTAGAACAGTGTGGTGTTTGTGTGACATGTTTTCGAGGATTGTCTTACAAGAGGATTGGCTACTGTTGACCAATCTAAGCTGCTTCATCACAAGCATCCTCATCATGTCATCTAACCGGTTGCAGTTGATATCCACTGTCATCAGTTGACCAGGTTTCATGAAGCCGTAGTGGATAATGCTAAGGCTGGACCACCACAGACACCATTAGCTTTTTTTATTTTTATTTTTTGTATTTATTTTTTATTTTTTAAAAATTATTATTATTAGACAGAGTGCTGTAACGTCACAGCTCACAGCAACCTCCAAGACCTGGACTTAAGTGATTCTCTTGCCTCAGTCTCCTGAGTAGCTGGGACTACAGGTGCCCACCAGAATACCCAGCTATTTTATGTTGTTGTTGCAGTTTGGCTGGGACCGGGTTCGAACTTGCCACCTTTGGTATATGGGATCAGCCCCATACTCACTGAGCCACAGGTGCTGCCTTTAATTATTTTTTTTAATTATTATTTTTTTTTACCATTAGCTTTTTTTGGATGAATTTTTGGTTTTGGACTATGTTTTTATGCCAGATGCTTGTGATAATCAACAAGAATTCCTTTTTCTTTCTTTCTTTTTTTTTTAGAAAGGACCTCAAGCTGTCACCCTGGGTAGAGTGCTGTGGTGTCACAGCTCACAGCAACTTCCAAATTCTGGGCTCAAGCGATGCTCCTGCTTCCACCTCCCAAGTAGCTGGGATTACAGGCACCTGCCACAACGTCTGGCTATGTTTTGGTTGCAGCCATTGTTGTTCCGCAACCTGGGCTGGATTCAAACCCTCTAGCTCAGGTGTATGTGGCTGGTACCTTAGCCACTTGAGCCACAGGCACTGAGCCTCCTTTTTCTTTTCATTTTATTTTTTCTTGAGACAGTCTCACTTTCTTGTACCCAGTAGAGTGCTGTGGCATTATAGCTCACAGCAACCTCAAACTCTTGGGCTCAAACAATCCTCTTGCCTAAGCCTCCCAAGTAGCTAGGACTATAGGTGCATGCCACGATGCCTGCGTGTTGTTTTTATTTATTTTTTTTTTTTGCAGACAGGGTCTCACTCTTGCTCAGGCTGATCTCAAGTAACCTGAGTCTAATTCAAGTAGTCCGCTCACCTTGGCCTATCAGAGTACTGGAATTATAGGCATTAGCCACTGTGCCCAGCCTAAGAATTCATTTTTCTTTTCTTTCTTTCTTCTTTTTTTTTTTTTTTTTTTGAGACAGAGTCTCAAACTATCACCCTGGGTAGAGTGCCATAACATCATAGCTCATAGCAGCCTACAACTTGGGCTCAAGTGATCCTCTTGCCTCATTTTTTCTATTTTTAGTAGAGATGGAGGTCTTGCTTTTGGTCCCAAACTTGTGAGCTCAAGCAATCCACCTGCCTCAGTCTCCCAGAGTGCTAGGATTACAGGCATGAGCTATCGTGCCTGGCCCTAAGAATTCATTTTTCCTTGCATGTAACAGTATGGTATAGAAATAGTTCCCCTTTATGTCATGGCAGCAAAGAAAGGCAAGCTTTGAGATGATGTTAATGTCTCTTTTGATGCCCATTTCATTCATGCAGAACCCATCTATTCAGGTTTTTTACCTTGCTGGTTTATTTCCAATAGTCCAATATTGTTGGGATAGTAATGTCAAACCTTGCTGCTAATTCACATGTAAGTTGAGATGTATTTGCAGCCACTGCAGCTTTCAGCTCATTATTCACCTTGGTCTCAGAATACTTGTGTGGCTCATTTTCAAGGTTTAAATTCCCAGAATGGAATAGATCAAACCATTGAGGTACTGCACATTCGTGTCTGAGCTGCACTGGTTTCATGATAGAAATCATATTAGAACGTAACGCATTGTAATCCTAGAACTCTGGAAAGCCAATGCAGATGGAGCTCAGGAGCTCAAGACCAGCCCAAGGCGAGCTCAGGAGTTCAAGACAAGCCTGAGCAAGAGTGAGACTCTGTCTCTAAAAATAAATGGGCATTGTGGTGGGCACTGCAGTCCCAGCTACTTGGGAGGATGAGGCAAGAGGATTGCTTGAGCCCAAGAGTTTTAGGTTGCTGTGATCTATCATGCCATGGCACTGATGTGCCTTCACCATAAAAATAAAGTAGATGTCATAGTGAAATGTGACACTGTCAAACTTAGTACTTAGGAAATCAGACCTTTCATACTTAATAACCTAATAGGATAGAACTGTTTTGTTTTGTTACAGGTATTGGTTCTCAGCAGGGTATAGGGATGGATTCTTCATGGGCCTGCACACCTCCCCATCCCTCCATATTTGGCAATTACTTTTTTTTTTTTTTTTTTGAGACAAAGCCTCAAGCTGTTGCCCTGGGTAGAGTGCCATGGTGTCACAGCTCATAGCAACCTCCAGCTCTTCGGCT